TTGAATTGTCAAGTTAGAGGAAGGCCGGTACCCAGGATAAATTGGTATAAAGATGGTATTTCACTCATTCCTTCTTCTCATGTAAACATTACATATTATAGGTGAGATTTTTATTTTTTAATAATAATAACATTAAATTTAAATTTAAAACGTTATTATTTTTTCATATTAAAGGATTTTTTCTGCTGTTGGCGCCAGGTATTCACGTCAACAACAACAAAAAAAAAATTTTTTAAATATTTTTTTGCGCGTCAATTAACAAATGTTGAAAAATTTCTTTCTTTCCTCTTTTTACTACAAAAAAAAATTTATTTTAAAAGTGTTAACGATTTCAAAATCCGTTAATTTTATTAAGATACGAAAACGATTGTTCGAAACAAACATTAATTAAAAAATTTATTAAAAAAATAATTTAAAACTAACAATAATTTATAATAAATTTTTAAAAAAACGGTTATATTTATTACTCGTAGTTATTGTAAAACCGAAAAAAAAAGAAAAAAAATTTTTTGGCTTGAATAACTCGTTATAAAAGAGTATTCAAGGTGAAAATAATTATTTTTTATGTAATTCGGGGTCGCTAAGCACCAAAAAAAAAAAAAAAAAAAAAAAACTACTCTTTTTTTCTTTCACATTAAAAAACGTCAGTAAATTTATATATCAAATATACTAATAATACAAGTGAATAATAATAATAATAATATAAATAACGTAAATAAAAATTTAAATTACGTGAAGATTCATACGTCTGTCTCGTGTTTATTATTATTATTATTACGGTAAAAACAACGATTTTCGTCTGATGTTAAATTTTTTTTTTGAAAACAATATATATATAATAATAATAATAATAATAATAATAATAATAATTTTTAATAAATTTCAATATCAGTATCACTATTAACATTATAATCATTGAAAAAAGGTAATTCAACTCTTTTTATTATTATTATTATTATTTTTAATTTTATTTTTATCATTTTATTTTGTCATCAAGAGCGTGACAAAAATATTTTCGATGCTTTAAATTAATCATCAAACAATTTAAAAACATACATAAATTTTTTTGAGGTTACAAAAAAAAAAAAAAAAGAAAAAAATTAAATAATAATATTTTTACGAATTCTTTTCATTATTATTATTATTATTATTATTATTATTATTATTATTATTATTAAATTTTTTTTTACGTTAAACAAGTAAAACATTAAAAAAGAATTACTTAAAGCTCTTTTGGCCCCTCGTGTTAAATTGTTATTTTTTTTTTTAAACAAACTTTAAATATAAATTTATATACATATATATAAAGTTTATTATTATTATTATTTGTTAATGTTTAAATAAGAAAAAGAAATAATAATAATAATAATAATAATAATAATAATAATAATAATTCACGTCAGACGAAATAAATTCATTATTTAAAAAAAAAAAAACAATTGTTTTTATTGCTCGGCTGTATTATTTTTATTTATTACCTAATATTATATTTAACAAAAAAAAAAATTATTATCAAATGGATAAAATAATTTAACTTATTTAAACGATAACTTCCTGTTGTGCTTATTTACGAAGGGTAGGGGGTGGGGAGGGGAGAAAAAACAAATTTTTATCATTATTTAATGTAATAAATCTTACATAATAATATAAATAATAATTTACTATCATCATCATCATCATCATCATTTCATTCAAAATAAAAAAAATATGGTAGGAGAGATGAAAAATTTACAGTAAAATGGGGAGGGGAAGGAGGAAGAGGAGGAGGAGGATCCGATAGGATTGAATATTTTTTTTTGACTTCCCCACCTTACTGGCGGCAAAAAATCTAGGATAATAATTATACGTTGGACAAGTTTAAATAAAAAAAAAAAAAAAAAAAAAGTTGGCAGCCCACCTGTGCCAGTTTCGTTCAATTGTAATAATGATTGGATTTCTCATCTTATTTTTTGTCTTTTGCAATTTTTTTTAAAAATTGGCAACAAAAAAATTTTTCTTTTTTTTTTTTTTTTTGCAAAAAGCAAAAATATAATTTTGTTTTTTTTTTTTAAAAAAATTAAAAAAATAATTTTTTTTTTTTTTATAGGAGAAATTCAACGATCGATATAAAATCATTAGAACTTAAAGATGGGGGCTTATATGAATGCGTGGCAACAAGCGTGACCGGAAAAACGGCAAAAATATCAGCTCATGTTAACGTATGGAAAGTTTACACACCCGGTAGTGAGTAAAAAAAAAAAAAAAAATTATTTTTAAAATCGTTACACAAAAAAAAAAAATCGTTATTAATTAAATTTATTTATTTATTTATTTTTACGGCGCCAACGAAAACGAACGAACGTTTGTTATTGAATATTTGTTTAATTTTTTTTGGTTTCAGCGACAGATTCAGAAAAATCGTTTCCCATTAAAAAGTGCCCGGTAGATGCTTTTTGTTTAAATGGGGGGCAATGTTATTTTATTGAACATTTAGGAGAACACATGTGCGAGTAAGTTATAACGTCGGTTCATTTTCAATTTTTTTTTTTTTTTTTTTTTGTAAATTTCAAATTAATTAACAAAAAAAATATAAAAAAATTCAGGGACAATCGCTAAATAAAAAAACTTTTCAAAAAATTTTAAAACTTATAAGAAAAAAAAAAAAAAAAAAAAAAAAAAAAAGGAAAACAATAATGTTGTGATGAGTGATCATCACCAGATCATGCAAAAGTAGACTAAACACAAATTTAGTTTTGTTTGGTAAAAAATATTCTTTAAAAAAATTTTTTTTTTTTTTTTTTTCTAGGGTGAGCAATCACACACTTATATTATATATATTTAATTATACGTTATTCGTCATTGATTTATTATTATTATTATTACTATTATCACAAACAATGACGAATATAGAGAATATATAAAAATGAAAAAAAAAAAAAAAATTCAATAAATATCGATTCCATTTGTAAATAGTACAATATACACGTTGGCAACATAATAACAATAATAAATTTATTTGTATTTCAGATGCGAAACAGGATTTAAGGGTGCAAGATGTGAAATAAAGGAAGTCTCAACAATAGGTATTAAACCATATATCTGTGGTTTTA